TCCTCACCACACGGGGGGATGCCACGCTCTTGGGCTTGCAAGCCACATCCACTTCTATTGCTTATAAATTATTCGGTCTATGGTATTCAGTCACAGCACCAGAAAATGACCGAGCCACCCCTCGGCGGCCCCTGACTCCCTCTGCCCCTGCCCGAGACTGTGCGGTGCCTCCTGTGTCTCGGAGTGCAGATTTCTTCCTTCATCACTGCTGTTTCCATCACCATTCGGACAAATCTCAGGTGCGCTGTGACGCAGGGCGTCTGAGCCAGTGATTCAGAGGTGTCCATCCGGCCCGCTGGAGCCCCCAGGGAGCCGGGAGGGTCTGGCATCGGGCACCCCTGCTTCCTCAGGGTTGTCGCTGTGGCTGTGGCTTGTGGCTCCTGGCCTCACTTGTCCTTGAATGGAGCCTGCGCTGACCGGGCCAGCTCAAGGTGCAGGCCCAAGGGGAGGGAGAACCTTTCCTGCAGGTGCTGCTTGGTCCTGCCTGCCCATGAGCATTGCTAGGGTGCTTTGCAGTTACCACAGCCAAGCGCTTTGCACTTCAGGGCCCAGGTGCCCGTGCTGGGCCTCTAATGCAGAGCCAGGGGCAGGAGCCACAATCTGAAAGTCAGAATCTCAAGTTCTGGGCCAACTCTGCCCAGCGACAAAGCAGCTTTCCTTCCCCGCTGAGTACGCCTGCCGTGGGGGACACTGTGTGACCTCTGGGTAGAGCCCAGGCGGCCCAGCCTCAGCCGGGGTCCCCGAGGCCCAATGCCTCGATGCCCAGGGGAAGCGGAAGGCGCGGTCAGCCCGGCCCCCGCCCTCCGGGAAGCTGTCCATTGCGGCACAGATTTAGCCCGCGGTGGGCGGAGGTTGGGCCTCCCCCACACAGCTCTGCTCAGGGACCCAGTTAAGAGTCTTCTTCCTGGGAGGCTGCGCCTGACAGCTGCTCCACCTGGCCCAGGGCTCCAGGATGCCGTCTGCGGTGCCCTTGAGCCCTAGCCTTTCGGCCTGAGGACCGGCTCCTGTTTCAGGCTGACGTCCACCCGGCAGGCCCGCCTTGCTCCCATAGCTGCCCTCAAAGGCGCATCCTGGCTGTGGGGACAGAGGCACCCCCACCCCGGAGCTGGGGCTGTCGGTTGTGCTTTGACATGTTTGGAAAGAGGCCTTGTGGATCAGCTGGCCTTCTCCCTCTCTGCCTTTACTTTAAAGGCTGGGAACCGAAAGTGTTAGATTTCCCAGCCTCTGCTGCACTGAAGGGAGGCCTCTTCTGGGGAATATGTAGGAGAAAAGTCTCTAGAGAGACATAAGGCAAAGTCTCACTAAGAGAAAATCCTTGGTGTTTTTCATTTCATCATCCATTCCCCTTCTTCCTGCCTAGAACATGAGTGTGATGTTGGGTGTGCAGCAGCCATTCTGTGAGCAAGAGGGGATGAGTGTGAATCCCGTGTCCAGAAGTCTGGGGCTACAGTCTGAGCTCCTCAGAGTCTCAGGTGGGTGGGTGGGGCTGGTTCCCATGAGAACATGCACCCCTGCAGCCCTCGAAGAGGGAGAAGGGATGCTCTCCCTGTCTGTCTTCAGGGATGTGAAGGCTGGCTGGGATATGAGGCTGACAATGAGTTTGTTCCAAATTTGGGAAGGAACTGGGCCGGTCTTTCCTTTATGGGAAACCCAGCCACAAGGTGTCCCTCACTGTCCTGGCTATGTCATTCACCCGGCTACAGCCCGGGTCGCTACAAAGGGCAATGTCCCACATAGTCCTAAACACCTCCTTACAACTCATCCTTCCTTCCAGAATGGTGCGAGAACAAGTCCTGTCCTTGCACCAAGAGCCCCTGCAAGCCCCAAAGGCGGTTACCACATCCTCTAATTCCCTTTCCTTCCAGCCAAAGGTCCCAGGCTCTGCAACTAGTTCAGTCACCTTCAGCCACATGGATGTCCTGCCTCAAATGGTGCCCAAGCCACCAAGTGAGGCAGGTGTGCACACAACCACAGTGCCAGCCAGCATGGGAGGCTGAGGCAGGAGGATCACAAGTTCCAGCCCAGCCTAAACAACTTAGCAAGCCCCTGTCTCAAAATTAAAAATATCAAAAGAGCTGGGGATATAGCACAGTGCAAAGGCCCCAGGTTCAATCCCCAGTACAGCAAACAACAACAAAACCCACAGTATCGTGTGACACATTAGGATCCAGAACAGAGAGACACAAACACAGGGCCGGGAGAAGCTGGTGGGGGTGGAGTGGGGCAGGCGCCTTCACAGAGGAGTAGTGGGTTTTAGGGCCAGACAAGCCAGGGATGGAACCAGCGCCTTGTGCATGCTCAGGAGTGCTCTACCCTGAGCTCCGTCCCTAGCAGAGAAGGCGGTATTTGATGATGCAGAGAGGATGATTTGCCAGGGTTGACCGTTGGATTGGTGGCAGCAGGTGATACGGGTTTGGCTCATTTACAGCCATAATTTGCAATGGCCAGAGTCATATTACTGGAACGAGGGCCTACTACAGGGGACGTTCTCTACATAGAAATCTCTTATTCTGAGTCTATAGGTGGAAAGATTGAAGCTCATCAGAATTAGGGGACCCCGCCCCCAGGGGGCCATAGCGATGTGAGTCCCACTCAGTTGCCACACAGCCCTGGACACCTCGCCTAAGCTCTCTGGTATCAAGTTCATTATCTCTGAGATGGAGATAAGAATCACCTAGGCTTTCCTCTTACATCCTTCTGCACACTAGGTGCATTAATCAATGGCTCACAATAGCGCCCAGCGCATGTAAAGTGATCGGTAAATTCTAGACACTGCCCAAATGGATGGCTTCTCTGGGGTTGAAGACCATGCCCCTTGTCCCCAAAGCCCAGCCCATTCCTCCTGCACAGAAAGGTGGAAATCAAATACTGGCGGGCTCCAGTCCTGTCCCTTCCTCAGAGCCCATGTGCTCTGTCCCATTAAAGCTGAGGGACTTAACGAAATGTCAAAGTTTCATCCGCTACCAGGCAGCAGCGGGAATCACTACATGCAGAGAGTGGGGGCAGAGGGAGCTGGGGGGCGGGGGAGAAGAGTGGCAATCACACCACACGGACCTCCCCAGCTCCGGAGCCACCCCTGTCTACCACCCTGGCCGCTCCTCCTCTGACGCCACCTGCTTCTGTGAGTGGGTTTGCCTCTTTGTCAGCCACCGAGGTCAAAAGCTAGCTGGACTATTATCAGACAAGAGGAAGGGAATAAGAGGGAGGGTGAGAGGGAGGGAGGGATGTGATGGAAATATATCACAGCAGAGGAGCGCATGCTTGAAAACACTGCACTGAAACCCACTACTTCGCAAAATTACTAGGCACTAATAAAAATATATTTTAAAAAGATGGCTCATCTTCTGACTCCCCTGCTCTGGTCAGGCCCCATTCCTGTGGGGTCTGGAATCAGTGCCTCTGGGATCCCCCTGGACCTGTGCTCATTCCCTCGACCTGGCGTCAGGCCCGCTGCGCTCTGCTTCCCCTGCGTCACCAGCATCCTGGTGGCCTCCTGCCTGCCACACCTTCCCTTACTCGCCTGGCGCCTGATCACCAGCACAGAGACCTGGCAGAGCAGCCAGGCCCTGGTTGGTAGTGCGCGCCCGTTTCCCTGACTGATCCAAGCTGCCTATGGAGGTGGCTGGATGTGCGAACCGGCTCTGGCCTGGCTGCCTGGAAGTCTTCACAGAGCTCAGCTCCCAGCAGACTTGACCTGGGCTGGCGAGGCTGGGTCTTGTCAGCTTGTCCAGCGGCCCCTCGGGCCCCACGAGGGCCCTCACAGACTGGGGACAGTGCTGCCCTCCAACATGATCCTGCTTCTCCTTTGCACACTCATTTGTTCTGATTTCTCTGCCCATCTGGAAACCCTTCCCGCGGTCCAAGCCACATATCACCAACGAAGACTTCCTCAAATCCCCTTCAGCCAGAGACAACGACGGACGCCCTGTTCCTTAGAACCCTGGTGTCATTTTTGTTTGTACCTTTGCCAGGGCATTCACCCTATCCCCCTGCATATCTGCTTACATGGAGACTTCACTTGGCCTTTCTTATTGCATGATAATGTTTTCAAAGGCTGGCACTATTCTTTTGTTAACCTTGAAATGCTTCACATTGTACAAGGTGCTTAAGAAATATCTTAAAGGTAGAATGAATTTACCCTTGCATGCTGTTGGTTTTGAGGCTTTTTTGTTTGTTCATTTGTTTGTTTTGAGACAGAATTTTGCTACGTAGGCTGGCATCGAACTCACTATGTAATTCAGGCTGGCCTCAAACTCATGGCAGTCTTCCTGCCTCAGCCTCCAGGGGCTGGGATTATAGGTGTGAGCCACCATGCCTGGTCTACCTGTTCATTCTTCAAAGAGAAAAGAATTTCTCCATTTCCTCTGTTGAGACATAACATTGTGAGATCACATTCAAGAGGAGGGAAAAGGTTTTTCTGGCCCCAGACCCGGCCAAGTCCGTGGTGCTGTGGCCCTGACACAGGCTACGAGCTATGTACCTTCATCATGGCCCTCTTACCTCCCTATCTCCTGAAAGCCAAGAGCAGCTCAACTGGTCTCCTCCCAAGAGGGTCCGTGGCACCCACTGGTTGGGTTGGCTCCTGGCTGGGCCCAGCAAGTTTGGTGTTTGCCTAAAAGCCAGGCCTGAGCCTCAGTGGAGGCAGGAAGCCCTCTCTGGTGGGCAGCTGACCCTTGAGGTGGGGTGTTGGGTGTGTGGCTGGGCTTCCTCTGCCGTGGGCCTGAGCCTGCAGTCGCCAGGGCCCCTAGTGTGAAGGAATTTGAGTTCTAACTTTAGGTGGCTACGTGGCTGATGGCTGTGTTTGTGAATATCTCATTCCTACTTTGGTTGCCCAGCTGGTGGGAACAGAACGGGTAGTCATGGGACTGTCATCATGTGCTGTCCAGGTTAACATGTAGCATTTCTATTACTATTAACAGACTTTCTGCTCCTCACTCCATCTGTTCTCTGAAATAATTGCAGTTGTACAGACCATGCCTTCGCTACAGGCAAGCTCTGGGGAAGAGGATAGTGCTTTTATGGGGAAAAAAAAAGTGTTAAAAAATAACAGCAAACACGAGAAGCGCGTGGGAATGGAGCTAGCAGCAGGTTCTAGTTTCTCTCAGATTCCGGCCTGCAAAGGTGGCGTTTTTCACACTCATTTGGGGTGACCAGGCCCAGCTAAATGGGCGTGAATGGTGGGGCTGGTGGCTCAGCCTTTTGGAGCTGCTGTTGGTCGCCAGACGGTTGGGCCCACCGAAGTGGTAGACCCTTGGGTAGGCCACCCAACAGGAGGTGCCAGGGAGGGGCAGGGTCTTCGGCAAGATGGGGGCATCAGTGTCACGGTGGTGTCCTGCTCAGGAGCTGGCCAGGGAGGAGGTCACGGGAAACACCCAAGAAGCAGGAAGGGCTGGGACAGGCTGGGGCTTTGGTTACATCTGGGCCTTTGTTCTTCCCCATCTGAAAATGGAGAGGTTCATCTTCACGACCCTCTTTCTTGAAGAGCTATTAGGAGGAATGGATGTGTCACAGCAAAATATTCAGAATATTTTCTGAGAGAGGGCCAGGAAGACACCAAAGGACAACTGAGACTTGCTGTGTGAAATATAGTAACAACGAAAAGCACAAAGCAGGTACCAGTGAGTCCAATGCACTTGGGTTTATGAACCTGGTGTGGGGGCATCTGTCTTCCCGTGGCGGGATGAGACCAGGTATACCTGGGAGTTCCACAGTCTGACTGTCCTTCTGACTTGTTCTAGAACCTCCCCAGCCACTACCCACCTTACCCATGAGAGGCACCCAAGGCGGAGTGGCACATCTCATCTGATGAGGCTGAAGACCGGGATCCCAGCCCCTGGCCCAGCCCTACTGGGAATGGCTGAGGAGGGAGGCTCTTCCCAGCTCCTTCAGAGGGTCCTAGACGAGGGAGGAAAGAAACAAATGAAGACATGCAGTCTTGTGCCTTCTAAGGCTTCTTCCAATTTTAACGGAGTGTTGTCATTTCAAAGAAACCCACAGCATTCCACTGGTCGGCTGTAAAGGAGACATTGATGGAGGGAGGTATTTTGTGTGTGAGAGACACGATATCATTCTCCAAACCCACTAAAAGACTACAAACAAAAATTTTGGAAAGCCTCAGAGAATCAGAAGTCCATATGTGGGGACGATCATAGTGCAAAATCATTTTTAGACATTAGATTTTGCCTGTTTCACTCTGCTTTACCCGCTAAGCTGCTCAGAATGTCCTAGATCTTTATAACTGGGTTTGGCGAGTTATGGGGAGGGCCTTTATGGGGTGTGGACAAACATGTGGCCCTGTTGGTTCAAAGCCCCAAAAGAACCTTGTTCTCTTATTAAGGAAATGGGAGGGAGCAGTTGACAAAATCTTGCAACTGACAAATTTTGGAAGTCCCGGGTCTTCGGGAAAATCCACCTGTTCTCCTTCGCCAAAGGCTTACTTGGGATGAAGTCTGAGTTAAAGAGCAGTTGTATGACATTGGTTTCAGTGTGTTTGCCTCTGCCTGTATCTCTGCTGGGGACTCGAGGATGGGTCAGTGTCCTCTTCAGAGCTCATCCACCCACCACCTGTTGAAGTCTCCATGTTTCCATCAGTGACCGGCCGCATACATGGCTGCGGTCCCTCCAGATTATAATGGAGCAGAAAAATTCCCTTTGGCTAGTGATGTCATCACACTGTAACCCATGACACACGTTTGTGGTGATGCTGGTGTAAACAAACCCACTGTGGTGCCAACTGTATAAAAGTATGGTGCAAACAATGAAGAACTTTTCCTAGTACTTGATAATGAATGGCTCTGATACTCTGATATTGTAGTGTACTTTTTATCATCACTTTAGAATGCACCCCTTATGAAAAAAATTGATGGTAAGCTGTACACTGTCGTGCCGGCAGCAGTCTCACGCAGTTGCCATTTGTTCATTCTCTCTCCCTCTCCCTCTTATTTTAGGAAGACTTTGATTTCCCCCAGCTGGGTTCTCCATCCTGGAGGTACTGCAATACCAGGTGGGTGGGTGACTTGGGGACAGCAAGCTTCTACTCTACCTCTCATTCCCCAAATCATTTAGTATATCGTCTTCAGATAGAGGACGCATCAGACACACTGGATGATGTTTGCACAGTGATGAAATCACCTAACGACACTGCTATGGTTTATAGCTAGACGTCCCCAAGGGCCTTGTGCACTCGTAGGCAGGACGGACCTCTGGAAGGTAAGTGGGTTATGGGGGCTGAGAGCTGACTTGTGGGCCACAAGTGGTGAAGAAATGGTGGGTCACTGGGTGGGTGGCCCGGGAAGGGTTTATCTCCTATCCCAGCTCTGCCTTTCATTCTCCTTGCTTCCTGTCTGCAATGCGGTGAGTAACCTCTCTTCCACCAGGCCCCTCTGCCATGTTGCCCTGCCTTGAGCCAGCCAACTACGGACTGAAACCTCTGCACACTGTGAGCCAAAATAAACCTCTCCTTTAAGTTGCAGGTGTCAGGTACAGTGTCTCAGTGACAAGAAAGTGATTAAGACAGACACATTTCTCAGAACATGTCCCTGTCATCAAGTGACACATGACTACTTCCCCACCGTCTGACATGCAGGAGACACACAATAAGGTGTGCATGCTGTGTGCATGAATGAAACACAGAGTCAGGAGTTCACAGCCAAGGGAAGGCTTTCCCATAAAAAGCAAACCTGGAGGTATGAATGGATGCAATCAGGAATAAAGATTATCAAACAAATAATAGCTACTGGGAATTCAATCCATGTATACCATATGAAACACTTCTTATCCTTTGCCTTGTCTAGTTCCACTGTCAGCAATGCAGTTCAGTACCATCACTTCCATTTATTAGTATTATTATTATGAATTATCATTTTGCATTTTTTGAGGCAGGTTCTTGCTATGTAGTTCAGGCTGGTCTCCAACTTGTAGAGATCCTCCTGCCTCGGCCTCCCGGGTGCTGGAATTACAGGCATGCACCACCACACTCAGCTCATCATTCTTATTTTAAAGATGAGAAAAAATGTGGCTTGGGAGGTTGAGAACCATGCCCAAGGGCTCATGATCAGTAAGTGGCCATGGAGAAAATCCCACCAAACCCATCTGCCTGTGCAGCTGGCTCTTGAGAGGGCAGGAGGCAGTGTTTCTGTACAGGGCTCTCGGGCCTCCTTCATCTGCTAGGGCTCTTCAAGGGGACACAACAGCATGGGAGGTGAAATTGTTGTTAGACTTAGAAAACCGTGCAACAAGGTGACTTTCAAAGTTGAGATCCCACAGTGCCGAGTCATCTGTGGTCCATAGGAACCAGCGTAGAGATGGCGACTCACCCTCCATTCCCTTCTCAGGTACACTCGGCTGCTTCAGGCTTGGGCCTTTTTCTCTCCCCCATGTGTAAATGGTGTGGAAGAGGACCTGTGCAGCAATACTCCAGGGTGTCAGAGATCAGAGCAACCTTCTGCAGGTGGCAGCCTGGGCAGAAGGCATCCTGAGTGCACTTCTGGGGGACAACTGAGGGATGCTACAGATGGCTCCCCAAAGACACCAGTGGCTCCCAGACACCAGTGCTGCCCAGAAGGACAGCAGGTTGGGCTGCTGGGGAGGAAGGTGTGCATAAAATAAATCAGTGCTCCACCTTTGTGCTGAGTCTTCATGGGCCTGCCCTGCCCTAGGCTCCTCAGGGAGGAGGACCACCCCCCTGGGCACAGGTAAGAAACGGAAGGGGGAGGCCCTTGAGGCACGCAGAGGACAGGTGTGATTCAAGTGCCTCCTGTCCCACTGTTCAGGCACAGTCCTGGTTGGCAAAGCCCTCCAGGCAGAAGTGGAGCGAGCTCCCAGTGCTTGAAAGGGAAGCAGTTCGCGCAGATAGAAGGGACTGCTGACTTACACAGCTGGCAGCTAATGTGTCTAATTCATCCTCCCCATGGGTGAGACAGGCTGGAAAAAGAAACTGCTCTTTAAGAGGTGCAGGTTCACAATGGATCTCTGGGTGGATGGTGACTTTTAGGAGGAGAACTAGGGCCATTACAAGACTCTGAGTGTGGTGGCCAGGGGCAGCATTCCCGGCTGGACAGAGCAGGGTTCCCTGGGACCCATAGTGTCAACTCAGTCACTCCTGTTGGGCTGAAGGAGGTAGAAAATATCATGCATGTACTCTGAGTTTGGGGAATATGGCTTACAAGAAGTAGTTCCTAGCCTGGCATGATGGCACATGCCTGTAATCCTTGCACTTGGGAGGCTGAGGCAGGAGGATTGCTGTGAGTTTGAGACCAGCCTCTGCTACTGTAGGGAACAGGGGAAGGGGACGTTACCAGAACCTCTGCAGTAAGTCCTAGTCTCCTGTGAGCCACGGCAGCACAAGGCGAATTACAGGAAAGGTAGAAAAATGAGACAGAGAAGAAGCTGAGCTTTGGGTCTGATCAGTGCTGCTCCAGGCAGCAAAGACAAAGACCCCTAGCTTACCGCACCTTTTATTCAGTACATCGGGAGAAACAAATGTAACAAATGAAATGCAAGGGCGGGGGATTTAGCTCAGTGGTTTCACTGCCTGCTGCGCAAGCACAAGGACCCGAGTTCGATCTCCCTC